AAACAGCTAGCTTATCGGAAACATATCAGCTTTTATTCACTAGCGTACACGTCATATTATAATAGTGAAGCTTTGAGCACATATGTCTCCTATGACGTGTATATATAGTACCGATGTGCACCTCGCACTGTGATAATAGCTGAAGCTGATTGTAGATGTTCTTGTAGATATAGTACTTAATTTGAAAAGCTTTATTATATCCGACGTATTCATTCTCGAATCTCCACACTAAGTGACGTCTGTCAAAACATTTGACAATATTAATTATGGAGAAATCGAGATCATATGTAACGATTAAATTTTGTTTTCTAGACCTTATAGATTTAAAAATTTATACTTCCATGATTCGATAATATTTGGTCGAGTCAAGCGAGCTGGAGATCAGAATTAGAATATACGAGCGTAAAGTACTACATTTCAATATTTACTTCAACTTATAAGTAATGTTATAACTCTAAAAACGAACGTGACTCTTCATTATTCTTACTTTACAACTTCTTTTTTCAAATTAACATCATGTCAAAACACTTAAAACAACATTCCAAATCAAACTTATTAGACAATTAAATGGGAATATTAAATGTGGAGGTAAGAATTTAAATGAAAGGATTGAACAAATCGGCCAGAACATATAAGATACTTTCAATGTTGTTATGTATGTCTATTCAGATTGTTAGTATTGCTAATTATGTGATAAATTCATGTAAAAAAATGAACTTACTGTTTTCAACGCAAGTGAAATTGCAGTTTTTTCCCATAAACAATTCAAGATAATAAACATTAATTGAAAACACGGAGCACCAGCAATTTGATCAATAAGAACTCTTAGTAATACAGTATCATAATTATAAACTAGATAATCAATCCAAACTGAACTGAGGACACCGTTTAGTCCACCCCATATCAAAAATTTCACCAAACGTCCATAATGAACTTGTTTATATAATTGAATGATTGATTGACCAAAAGTAGCCGTGATTATACCTAGTAAAACCGAATTTAATAATTGATGAACATTATCAATCACTTCTCTATGATTTATGACAATGGTAAATGCAATGATTTGTAAAAAAATGAGAAATATGAGTAGCGATTTTGATCTTGGTTTTATTGGATGAGGTTGAACTAATTGAAATTCATTTTTTTCCAAATCTATAGATTTTTTTGGTATAGATGGTGAGTTAGGCATCAACCACTCAAAATACGTTTGCTAACAAAAAATAAAAGAAAGATGATTTAGAAAAAATGCACAAGATCGAACTGATCAACGATGAAGATTTTGATGCTTTAGACTTTCGACTTTTTGAATGCCAAATTTAAATCAACAAAAAATCAAAACAATTGAATTTTTTTTGCTAAGAACACGTTTAATATCTGTGAAATTTAAGCGAACCTTCAAAATCTAAAATTTATATGTAGCGCGAGATATCGTAAAGATTCAAGAGTCTGAAATGGAAACGCAGTAGATGAATTAGTGACTGATTTAAATTGATTATTCATTTGGTTATGGGTTCTCATTAACAAAATAGATTCAATATGTCATTTTAATAATCAGTCAAAGAAATGTCATAATATTATAAGTGAACCGTGAAAGTTATTGATCTTCTGAATTGATTAATTCAAAATCTACGTGTTGCTTAATTGATGATTCAAATTTCAGACTCATTCCACCAGTTTAAATAATGATTTGAATTTATTGTTCTCAAGTGAAAACGATGGGTATATTTACACTGTTTAGTTGACATGAACTTCAGATCACCAAAATTTCAAACTATAAATATGCCAAATTACCCAAAATTATCAAAAATAATAATCAAAACAAATCAACTGAGCTTTTATACAATTTAAATCCAATCCGCTGTGATATACTTTAGGAATCAGAAGCACAGATATAAAACATCTTCATTTCAAGTCATTTCACATTGTTAGTTGTTGATATCATTCAAATTCCAATAATTTATTTAGCCGCCCATTTCAAAGATTAAGCGCCCAACCATGACACGCTCAAACCCTTCTTCAGTTGTTAAGCGCTCTGTCAGAAATTCAAAAAAAGTTCAAAGAACTACAAAATCTGATCTAAAATTCATTCAGGGTACATTAGCTGCAGTGCAATTGTTATTTGATGATGATGGAATCTTAATCAAGATTCCAAATTATTGGTTTTCTTCAATTTCTAAATCATCTTTATATGATACTTTAAAATTAGGTTCCAAAGAGTTCTTTTACGATAGAGATATTGATACAGAAGAAGTTGAAGCATTCATATCTCAGCAAGGCTTGAATCTTTGTTTTTTGAAGAATTATTTATCTGTTAATATCGAGTTATTATGGAATTATAAAGAGATGTTGTCATGTTTATACCAAATCACTATATTGAATAAGATTGGCGCTCCATTAGAAGAAATGTTATCCAAATTCAAGGAACATTTAGTTGCTTATGTTGTTGAATCTATTGAATGTTCAGTTGGTTATGATATTGATGAAGCTGAAAAATATCTTGCAGAATACAGAAATCATTTTTGGTGTGATTTTGATTCAAGTATCAATGATGATTTTGAAGAAGGAGCATCGTATTTAACAGATGCAAAATTACAAACAATAGAATCATATGCTCAGAATAAACTTGTTGATGATCATCGTAAATTTATTTATGGTGTTATTGTTTTCGAAGGACAGATGATCTTAACAGTCAATCCTTTCTGCAAGTCATCATGTCCCTTATTGAAGGTTGATCTCAAAAAGTTTTTAGATCCGCATAAAGTTGTTCCAGCGGTAAACAAGGTGTTGATGATGGCTGAACTTGCTAGAAAGCAAATGTTGGGTGAAGAGTTTTCATTGATTGAAATGGCAAATTAAATTTAGCTTTAGGATTCTATATTGGCAAGCATATTTAATTATGATTCAAATTATAACAGCTATAGAGAACACAATGCCCTACTCAGTATTTAGTATTTGCCCATTATCCAATGCACGTACCGTTAAACGCTTCATAAACCCTCTATTGTAAACTGCCTAAGGCCGTTTGGCTGTTCCTATTCATCACATTTTGTCACATATTTTTCCGATCGATTCCATACTAAAACTTAAACTATGCAGCCGCAACGGCCAATAAGAAGCGAGAAAATTCTGATGACCATTTGAGGTGTGTCGCGTAACGCGTTGCTGAGGTAATCACCGTATTAAAAAAAAATACCCTTTGCTAACCTTAAGAGCGGGTACTAAGATAATTTCAAAGAATATTTTAAAACTTATAAACAGATTCATTGGCAAAATTTTAATTTGATATTGTGGTTTTTTCTCAACTAAACAACTATTTACAAGGATTAGAAAAGCATATATATCAACTAAATCATTTGATTCATTAATAGCTTATCTTATAGTTGCAATTTTCAGGTGTTAATTTCGGGAGATCGCAAAAAACAAGCAAGGGATAGAGTCAAATTAATACGTTTCACAGCTTTAGCTCAAAGAAAATCCATTAAAGTTCATAAACAGCTTTATTTTATTCAATAGAAACATATTCAAATATATTTTATACATCACATCAACTAAAATCACATAATGACAATCGTTGCAATCAAAAATGGAATAGTGAAGGCCTTCTCAGGTGGTCAACAATCACAACCCTTAAATTCAGATGGTACACCAACTTATAGCTCAATTGATGGTAGACCAGATGAAGAACAATCAATTAATGGACAAGAAGTCAGCTCATTAAATTCCAAAAACAATGATGATTATGATTCACACAACACAGCACCAGGATTCTTAGGTAAAATAGATCCAAGAGTTATGTCTGACGCGGTTATTGGTTTATCTGATGGGTTAACAGTTCCTTTTGCCTTGACTGCAGGTTTAAGTTCTTTAGGGGATTCAAAGTTAGTTATTACTGGTGGTTTTGCAGAATTAATTTCTGGTGCTATTTCCATGGGTCTTGGTGGTTACTTAGCTGCTAAATCAGAATCCGATTATTACAAGAGTGAAGTTAAAGCTGAAAAGGCTAAATTTTATTCAAATATAACTGAAGTTAATCATGAAATTGAAGATATTTTATTAGAAATAAATCAAGATTTCAGTGAAGATACTATAGTTTCTTTTATTAGAGACTTGAAGAAGAACCCAGAAACAATGGTTGATTTCTTAGTAAGATTTGGTAAAGGTCTTGAAGAACCAGCAGAAAATAGACAATTAACAAGTGCATTAACAATTGGTGGTGCTTATTTCCTTGGTGGTTTCATTCCATTAATCCCATATTTCTTTGTTGCCCATGTTGATCAAGGTTTAATTATCTCTGTGATAACGATGGCTTTCACTTTGTTCTGGTTTGGTTATGTCAAAGCTCAAATATCTTTAGGTGCTACATGCTCAACTCTAAAGAAAGTTGAAGAAGCTGTTCAAATGATGCTTGTTGGTGGGCTAGCTGCTGGTTCTGCTTGGGTATTAGTTAGAGTTATTGGTTAAACATATAAAAAAAAAGAAAAGTTGTTAGTTTAATCATCTTATGTCATTACCCCCATTATATTTATATCAGCCATTGCATATACCATAATTTATTATTTTATAATTTAAAGTCTTGAAAAGACAAACAAAGTTCAAGTTTTCCACGCATATAATTCAAAGTTATTGTTTTTCATTTGTTTGGTTTCCTAGTTATTATTATTATTATTATTATCATTTTCCCAAGATTTACTTCAATAGTACATTTACAAGATGTGTGCTAATTTAATCATGCTATTGAAAATTTCTATACTGTACATTAGGTCATTTATAAACTTATAATATATATATAAAGAGTTCGGTTTCATTATGAACTGTTATTTAATGAAGAAGTTCGCATAACCTGTAGATAGGACACCAATAACTCTTCATTTACCAACAACAGCTCTCAAAGTTTCTTCATCAAATATGTTACTACCATTCTTCAACACATTAGCTAGAATTGTTAAACTTCTTTCATTAAAATCTGGTGCTTTTCTAACTTCATCAATATCATCACCATAATTTTCGAACATCAATCCTAAATAATCATTTTCTAATTGTTTATTACCTTGATTTATTAGACTTTCAACTTGATTTAAATTTATATTCTTTGATGAATAGTTTAAAGGTGTTTTCGTAAGTTCAACAGTTTTTAATTTGTTCTTTATATTTTTGAAATCTTCTTCTGCTTTTTTATTTTCAATAATTGGAGTTATTTCACTATCTGAAAGCACAGCTAAATCACCTTCTTCATCAATATTAGCTTCTTTTTGTTGTTCTTCATCATCTTTTTCTTCATCTTCACTTTCTGAACTTGATGAGGATGAAGAATCTGAAGAATCTGAGAAATCTTCAGTTCTTCTCTTCTTTCTTCTTCTTCTATTTGCTTTTTGCTTCACTTCTTTATCATTTTTCGGTATTATTTTGCTCATATTTGAATTAATATGTTTCCAATTTATCAATCGTCTTTGTTAAAGTCATCACCTATATTAATTATTTAATATTTAAATTTTTCTAAAAATGCTTCCCTAACCGCAAAATTGCTGTGAGTGGCCCAACCATATTCTGAGCACTCAGAAAACAGCAATGTTTCAAAGTCTATAAAATGGTTTCGTGGTCTAGTAGGTTATGGCATCTGCTTAACACGCAGAACGTCCCCAGTTCGATCCTGGGCGAAATCATATTTTTGCCATTTTGTGGTAAAATCTGCTTTTTTTTCGTTTTTATGAGTGATATTTAACTTTTTATAACCGTTTAAAGCTTCCCATCAATTAACATATATCTTTAAGATCAAATAGTATCGTCAGGAGTTTAATTTTGTGTTTGTTTTCAATGTAAGATTTCGATCAGCATCTTCAAATTAATCTTAAAAATCTTGCAATTATTTTCATATACCATCGCGAAAAAACTCACCTCATATATAGAAATTAATTGAAAGCTGTAGTATTGATGTTGGGTCTTTAACTCTTGTGAATAACAATCAATTTGGTTAACAAACAACTACCAATACTTCTTAACATGGCTGAAGAAAGTTTGATTTCCTCGTTATATCCTCCACCTCCAGCATATTATAAATTTTTCACAAATGAAAATTTAGAACAATTCAAAGAGATTAAAAACAATCATAAAGTTGAAGATGATGAATTACATATACCTGAAGATAAGAAAGAATTAGAATTTCTAATACCACCAAGGCCTCCTTCTGGAGATACATATAGATCTTTCGGGAATTTATGGAATGTAAGTCTATGATTCGTCGTTTTTAGATGAATAGTCTAGGTACTAATCGTTTATTTAGTTCAATGATAAAATACCAAAATTAGAGGAAATGGGGATACCGCAATTGTATCAAGAATCCAATATACCCAATGATGAAGAAGATTCAAAGATCAAGATTGAAGAATTGAAAAGACTGTTGAAATCTTTATTATTAAACTTTTTAGAAATTGTTGGTGTAATGAGTGTCGCACCAGATCAATTCGCTACAAAAATTGAACATATACGTACCATATTGATCAATATCCATCATATATTAAATGAATACAGGCCACACCAATCTAGAGAATCATTGATATTTTTATTGGAAAAACAAGTTGAAACTAAGAAGGATGAAATAAAAGAAATTGAACGTGTATGTAAAGAGGTTGAAACAAAGATTAAAGGACTTATTGAATTATACGTTGATAATCAAGAAAAGACATCTGAACAAATTAAACAAGAATCAGAAAGTTTTGATGATAAAAAACAAGTAGAGAACAATGAGAACGCTGTCAAGGAAGAATCTTGATTCTGTGTATCGGGAATATACATGTTTTTATAAACGGAACTTATTTCATGTAAAGAACCCAATAACAGCAAAATCGTTTGTAGCCATTCTATCTCATAAACACCAGCCCTGGTTTGGCTTTTCAAACAACTCTTATCCTTTTAAAATTTTCCTGGTTGTCTGTCTACTCCATATATTTCGCAGCTATTATGCTCGATTTCAAAGGTTTGTATTTTTTTCCGCCCTCGAAAAAAAACTACAAAATAACACCAAGGTAAACAAAATTACAAATACAAAATAACAACTTTTAGAATCATTTCTTCTTACACAACTTAAGACTAATTGTTATCAAATAAATAAATAATAAATAAGAAGAAGAGCATATCATGTCTGATGCAATGGAAGTTGACGTGCCACGTAAGTTGGTCCCCTTTTTTTTTGTGAATTGATTATACTAACAATTTAATATTAATAGCAGCTGGTGAAACAGAAGAACAAAAAGAACAAACAGAACAAGAAACCACAAAGAAAGTAAGCAAAGCTCCTAAAAAGAAGTTTGAAGTTAGAAAATGGACAGCGGTTGCGTTTTGGTCCTGGGATATCGTTGTTGAAACTTGTGCTATTTGCAGAAATCATTTAATGGAACCATGTATTGAATGTCAACCAAATTCAATGAGTGCTACAAGTAACGAATGTATTGCTGCTTGGGGTACATGTAACGTGAGTATAACAGTCTGATATGTGAGTTTTGATGAATTAAGTCTACTAACACTCTATTTTAGCATGCCTTCCATATGCATTGTATTTCAAGATGGTTGAAGACTCGTAATGTTTGTCCACTTGATAGCAGAGAATGGCAATTCCAAAAATATGGTAAATGATTCGAATGAATACTTTTCCAGAAAGTCTTTATTTACAGATTCAAAGATGCTGCTTTTGCACTCAAATTGGTTATGATTCTTTTGAGAAGGGCTTGCATTATCAAGATCTTAGTCTAAAATATTTGAAATTTGACTTTTGGTTCATTTAAGTGGTTATGACTTTTTTTTTTATCTTTTGGCTTTAATCGTTGTTTTTTAACTTTAGTTCTATATATGAAATATTCTTTACACAAATTCAAAGTGTTCAGGTGTTTGAATTCTAAAGTCACTAGTGCTATGTAGTAAATTAAATGAATAGTAATTCTAATTCTATTAATGAAAATATTTCAACACATTTATATACTTTTTTTTATTCCGTTTTTTCACCATAATATCGCTTGTTTCTTGGGAATGTACCAATAGTTACACTGGTAACTGTTTTCTCTTTTAATTCTTCAAGTGCACTTTTAACATTTGGATCATCACGACCGTCACTCCAAAATTCTATAAAGAAAACATACTGCCATAATTGATTCAATGAAGGTCTTGATGTGATACTTGTTAAATTAATTCCATGTTTTGATAAAACATTCAAGGCACTAGCCAAAGCACCAGCATCATCATGTTCAACAGTGAATGCAACTAATGAAATATATTTTCTGTCTAAATCTTCTGCTTTCTCTTTACTCAAGATCAAAAATCTTGTTGTATTTTCTTTGTTATTTTCAACGTTTTTGTATAAGATTGGAATATTATGAACTTTTGAAGCATATTCGCTTGCAATAGCGGCATGTGTTTCACCTTCTTTAGATGCTATCTCAGCAGCTTTTGATGTTGAACTTGTATCAATTTTATCCAAGTGTTTACCTTCATTTAAAGTCCAATTTGTAACTTGACCCCATGCTTGTGGATGAGTCAATAATTTTTCAACTTTGGATATATCTTCAGCATGTGATAAAACACAATGATGGATTGAAACAAACTGTTCTGCAACGACATTGAATGAATTAGTTGGCTTTTGTTTTTGCTTACCAGGGATCAGAAGGTCTCTTAATAAATCATATGTAAAAGTTACATGACCATTTGTTGAATTTTCAAAGGGCACAACAGAATAATCAACTTCATTGTCTATAATTCTTTGAAAACAATCTATGAGTATCAGTTAGCATATACGAATTAAATATTTCTCATAGTTTATAAACTTACCATTGATTGATGATTGGGCAATGAGTTTAACTTCTTCACCAAATTGTTGTAGCGCAGCCTAAACTTTAATTAGACGGGGTCCCGGTATTATGCTCTGAAACGTTTCCATACATACCTGATGAGTATAAGTACCTTCTGGTCCTAAATAGGCCACTCTTTTAGAATTAGATTCACTTGACATATTGTTCTTGATTATTGTACAGAGAATAACGAGCACAAATTAAATTTGGAAGTTGAAATGATACCTATGACCTATGACACTTCGTCAAAAAAATCAACGCTGGCAGATTTTCTGTCTAAACCGATCAGCTTGATAACGCATAGAATCGAAGCATTTTATGAGAATTAAAAGCAATAGTCCGCAGAATAAGATAAAATCAACATGTAATATACTCGAGGGATATTATATAGAATATGTGTATTGGGATATTTACATTATAGAAGGGTTATGTGGAGTTGAATATCTAATTTTCTAGGGATTGAGCTTCAGCTAATAATGCTTCAACTGTGAAATTTGAAGATCCTGAAGTGAAGTCTTTCAATAGCTGTAAACGACGTTTTGAAGCTTCAGTTTCAGCTAACACACCATAAAATCTTTGAACATTCAGTAATAAAAGTTGAGATTCTGGTAATTTGACTGCTGCATCTTTCTCCACAGTACCATTCATCAAAACAACGTCTTTATCATCTTTCAATTCAGTATGGAAAATGATTGAAGTATGTGGTCTAGCAAATTCCTTATGAACTTTAAACTCCATTAATGTGGTAAACATACAATGGACTGTATTTGGACCAACAAATTGCCATTGAATATAATGTAAATCAAATCCTTCACCTTCTCTTGGTAAAGGTAATACAAAAGTTGGATTTTCTCTAGCATTTTTGTACAATTTATCAAAAACTTCACCTGGAACTAATGAGATCAACGCATTGTCATGTTTTGCAAATCTTGCTCTCCATATATATTCCAATTCTTTTAACGGTAATTCTGATATTTTTTCAACATCGACGAATGAGCTTAATGTTTTGTATGGTTTTTCAGGAGCAGTTGGATCTCTACCTTTTCTTAATTTATTTTCGTGTGCCTTCTTCTCTTGTGCTTCTATAGCTTGTTTTCTTTCATATTCTTCCAATTCTTTTAATGGATCGATTTTATTCAACTCTTTACGAGTTTTTTCTAATTCATCTTTTAATTTTTCTTTCAATTCATCAACGTTACTAGCACCAAGTCTAATAAACAGTTAGCATTGTACCGAGGTCTTTGAATTGATCTAAACTTCACTTACTCTTTAGCCTTTTGTTCTAATTTTTCACGATATCTAGCAGCTGGATCTTCCTTGGTTGTCTTTTGAACAAATCTAACATTTGACACCGAAGCAAATCTGACTTGTTGCGATCTACTCAATGATCTCAAAGAGCTGTTTAAATAAGATCTTGCAATTCTCATTTTAATCAAAAGTCAACCAAGCTTATTTGTGACAAAAGGATATATTCACAAGATCTACCCTGGTATATAACCTTGATCCTTCATTAGTCGGCTCATCGACCTCAAAAGAAGAAAATGGTCGAGATTCGTGAAATACGAGGGTAAAGACACTACAGGTACATAATTTCAACTCTTCTTGAACTGAATGGAATACTCTTGGTGATATAGTGGACCAGTTACAGATATGTGCTTTTCACTTTACATTTACCAACAAATCAATTCTTTTTATTTGTTCGTTAAAGGCAAATCACGCGTAAAAGCTCCCACAGCTAAATTTAGTGTCGCTTACATAAGTAGCTTTTTTGTTTACGTATATTATTTTTCTGCCGAGTACCTGAAATAAAATCATAGCTAATTGAAACCTGATCTCTGATCTGAGACTTATTACCTCACACGAACCTCTTTGTTTACCACGGCCAGTCGTTTGGAAGAGATACCCGGTATATCTAATATACTTCATCCGCATCACTTGCTGTCATACAAACATAATTCTGCTGCTAGTTTTCCATTCATAGCTAACATTGCAAAGGTATATTTTACACACCAGGCTAAGCGAGAAGCGCGCTAGATCAGATCAGATATAAACAAACAACAACTAGAAAATCTATAGAGGAAACTAAATAAATCAAGGGTATTATGACACAGATATCTAGTGGTGCCACAAATGGTGCACCAGTGAAATCCCAGAAGCCCACGTTAGCACCTGCAAAAGGACCAACAAGGAAAAAAAAACAATACCAAACAGACAAGCCATTACCATTACCAGCATCATCAAGAGGAAGTACGGATGATGATACATTTGTCCATGAATTTTCGAGAACAGATGTTAGAGAACTCATACATACAGTCACTCAGGAACTAAAGATCAAAGGTAATAAAACACCATTAGTTCTGTTAGCGTTTCGCCCTAAAGTTGATGATTCAAAACTTACAACATTCTTAAGCTTAGTTTTTCCAAATGGTACCACACCGGCCCCAATTAATCAAATTGAAAGAGCTGTTAGAGATACAGATGAATATACTTTGATGGCTGCGTTGAAATATTTATGGTCAAGATTACCGATGGATTCAATCGTTGGTTGGGATGCTTATGAAACTTTCAAGAAATTAGAAGCTAGATCTAACTATCCAAAAAAAGCTTTTTTGGAATTTATGCCACAATGTTTAACATCACCAGCGCATGCCTCTATTGTGTATGATTTCTTAGATCTTTTGGTGTCATTATCAGCCAATGCAAAAGAGAATCAGTTGAGTGGTAGAAAAATATCTAAAATGGCTGGTCTTTGGGCTTTTCATGGTCCTCCAAATTCTGCAAATTTAACAAAATCAAGACTTGATCCAACAGAAAATTCATTTAGAGAAGGTCTAAGAGATTGGCTACCAGCTGCAGACGCGTTATTCCATTTGTTTTTATCATTTTTGAGATCAATGTTACCAGATGACCAAAACACAAAACTTCAGTTACCAAGAACTTTACAAGCATTATTAGCTAGTAATTCATACCCACCACCAGATCTTACATTTCAGTCATCAACATTGGTAAGTGTTCCACTTGTCACTATACGATCCAATACACTTTCTAAAAACCCAACAGAATTACTGAATAAATTACCAAAAGTATTGAGCTTTGACAATCAAAAAAGATTTGAAGCAAAAGAGGATTATGCTTTGCTAAAGTCATTATGTAGAAATGATTCAAATATTATGAACAAACTATCTGGTGAGTCAAGAAGAATTATAGGATTATTGTGCAAGAAACCAAGTGAAGGTACATTGATGGCAGGCTGGCCAGAATATCATCCACCAGAAACAGTCGTGGAAAATAAAATTCAAGTATCTGTTTCAAGAGTATCAATTGATGACTACTTTATATGGACTTGGATGTCAAGTATGTCATTTGAAGAAACTCAATCAAAGAAAAAGTTATTTGGTAGATCATTAATTTCAGAATTTGTATTTGATGGGTTTAAAAAATGGATTGTTGTTGAAGAACAAAACATTGAATCAACAGTTAGAAATCATAATCCACCAGTTCCTGAAAAACCAAAGGTTCAGAAACGTATACCTAGTGCACAACCTAATTATAAGTCATTAATTCTTGATGAGGGTGAAACAAATGCATCCTACACTAAACCAAAAGCTAAAGTTCTTCAAGAGAAACCTGTTCCAAATGATATACCGCCACCAATCAGAAAAACTTCTGTTCCATTATCCCCAAAACTAAGCTTGTTGAAACCTTTCAAAAAGAAACATCATGACCATAGTACTAAACAAATAGTGGAACCAGATACTAGCTATGAAGAAGAATTGGTGTATGAACCACCTGAAGAAGTTGGAGGATTACCAGAGATTGAAACCAATCAATATAGACTAAGTATGCCGCTAGATCAATTGGGATTTGATGATGATTATGAAACACCACAAAATCAAAATTATCAAAACCTTTATAGTTCAGGTGAATACAAAAGTACTGCACCTCCAAGATCAAACTATGACAATTATCATTCGAATGATGACCAATCAAGCTATCATGGATATCCTGGAGCTCATGATGCTTTTGTTCAAGGTACTTATAATAATACAGGGCCTCATTCACCAGTAAGAAATGATCAAGGTATTTACCAAGAACCAACATCGCCATTTAAGAAGAACCCTAGTGTGCCAAATGGATCCATTGAAGATTTGACGCAAATGGTTAGTAAATTAGCTCAACAGGTCAATCAAGTTGAATCAAAACTAGGTAATGGATCTTCAACTAAAGTTCCAGAGCAATTCAATAGTACAAATAGAGATATTAATGGAGGACAGCAAGATCATCATAGCAGACCTTCAAATGTTACAATGGAAAGTCAAAACTCGTCTGTCACTTCAAAGCCAAGAAGAAAACCACCACAAGGGAATGCTAGTTACAACAATGTACAAACAACAGCCAATGCTCCCCCAGTTGATTACTCTCAAGAATATCAAAATCCAAATGGTTACTATTATCAACATTCGCAACCACAAAATCCACCATATGCTGATCCATATCCACCAATGCCAGTAGCGGATCAATTACCAGCCCCAGTACCTCAAAGAAGCTCATATGTTGAACCGCCAGCTCAAAGAAATTCGTATCAAGAACAAATTACCCATGATCAACCATATAATAATCAAAAAGCACCATCACCTATCAGAAAAGATACACATTATGCTAATGCTAGACAAGCATATACTTCTGATAATACTGAACCTGGTAGTTACTATACTGATGCCTCTGAACAGCAAAATGTCGATAATGGATATCCAGTTGATGCATATCAAACACCAGCTGGAAATTCCATACCTTCAGAATATCAACAAGGTGGTGAGACAATTGTTGTCGATAAAAGAAGGTCTACAGCATCAAACCCAATATATCCAGAGAGTATTATTGAAACATATACCACACCTTCTGTTTGGAACCAAGGTGATAGTGAAGTATCAAGTTTTGCAAGTCCTGGTAGAAATATTGTCAATAATAGCTCTCCTCAACAATCAAAACGTTACAGTCAAGCTGGTAATTTACCACAAATTGCAGAACCATTAAGTTCAAATGATATTGATTATATACCTGACTCAACTTCCATTGTTCCAGATGTTCCATTACCAACACCATCACCACCAAGGCTTCAAAACAAGGAAATATCTGAGAATCAATTTGGTCATCAACACAATTATCAAGAACCAGTTACAGGATCCTCCACTTCACTACCTCATCCAAGCGATGATTATCATTTGCAAAACACCGACCCACATCATAGAATGAGGTCTCCAAGTTCTGGTCCATATCAACATAGTGAAGAAAGGATATCTAGAGATGGCTATGATCATTATAGCTCTTCACAATCTTTGGGTGTTTCTTCAAATCCACAGCAGAAGACACAAAGTGTTCAAAGCTTTCAAAGTGCACAAGAATCACAGAGTCATATAGCTACGCCTAAACGTCAAAATCCATCCCCATCAAGTACTAAATATGAAACACCATTCAAATCACCACCACCGACTATGAATGGATATCCTCAACATCCACACCCAAATCATGCTCAGCAACCAGTTCAATCTAATATGTACAAATCACCACCACCCCAAGCTCCAGTTTATGGTACTCCAAGAAATGACCCAAGATTGAACGTTCCTCAAACAGCAAGACCTATGAGACAAACATCACCTGTTGTACCTTATGGAGGACCTCGTCCTCATTCAGCATCACCAAGACCGCCTAAATCAAGAGATCCTTATCATCAACCACCTCCACAACAACAACCTTATTATCCGCCACCTCCATCTCAAGCACATGGATATTTCCCTCCAGCTCAAGGATACCCTCCAGCTCCACAATCAGGTCAAGGATATCCACCAGCTCCACCGTCACAAGGTTATTACCCACCGCCTCAAGGTTATTATCCACCGCCCCAACAATGGTATCCACCACCTCAAGGTTATGGTTATTCACCAGCTTCTGCTCCAGGAGCTCCACCTCCATCCGGACCTTCAAAACCTACACATGCTGCTACTGACTTTGCCATAGGTCATTTACCAACAGCTACAGGAACAAATAAATTGCATAGAACAAACAATAAGAACGATAAGAAGAGTTTACGTAATGCTTTAGCCCAAGGTGATTTTGGAATTTAATTTTCAAAAGTCATTCCTTTGAGGTTTATATATATCAAAGGCATTGATTAAATAAGTACATTATACATATTATATATATTCATTAGTTGTAGAGATCCCACCAAATGATGTATCGAAAAAATTCGATTATTGTAATAATATATATATTTGCTTTTATTTACCCTGTACTCGAAAGTTGACACAATTGATAAGGAATCTTTTGTTTGTTCGACGCGTCTGATACACGTCTAAAAGGGAAATTTTCACGTGACTTTTGTTTACATTTTAAAAAAAATATGCGAGAATAATAATACAAGAGAACTAAAACTTGTACAAAATCAAAACTTCACTCAAACTATTTAACTGAAGAAATTTCATACGTTTTTGAGAATAATAAATTGGCTCCAGGTGTTCTATTTGTTTATTGAAACTTATCAAGATATTCAATTCTTATAAACGGGTGATTTAAAGATCAAAAACTGTGTAACACAAAAACATTAATACCCAGCTTATCATAAAGACATAATCAATATGTCTTCCCAAGCCCAGTCAAAAGCAAATTACTTATCTCCACCTGTATCACCAGATAAGACGATTGTCAAGAATGGTTTAAAACGTTCATATTCCAAATCAATTGGTGAAAATGACCCAAAAGTTAATTCTGAAGATGGACAAAACAATGCTCTTAATACTGTTGATACCAAAGAAAATAAACCACAACAATGGATGACGATCAGATCATACCAAAAGAAAATCAAAGTTAGTGAAATAACTAGATTTGTTGATGCATATAACATATACCCTAAATCAAATAGAACGACGCAATCAAAAAAAAAGAGAGCTTATGCATCAAATACATCTTATTCTTGTGTACCAAAGGAAAAATCAGCATCTGGTGAACATAATCTTACTTCAAGCTCTCAAAATAGTGATGCTGAAACTTCTGCTCGTACTTATGGTACAAGATCTAAAAAGAAAGCTGTTGTTGATGAATCCACAAATGAAGTTAATCTTGATTCAAGAGCAGCTTCTAGATCAAATTCAAGAATCAATTCTGACGATGATAATTCTGATAAGAGAATTTTTCAAAAGAACGTTCTGGAAACGACTAATGGTGATAAATTGGAATTTTTGAAGCTGAGCAATGTGCAATTAATTCATGATGTTGAAATTGACGAAATCCCAAATTTTGAGCCTCAAATTGATTTGGATGAAACAAAATTGAATAGAATTTGTAAAAAAATAGGATTGAATTTTGATAACAAGTTTAAAGCTTCAAATGTTAACAATAAATATAAATTAACATCAAAAGAAGTGGCATTGATTCATAGTTTAAAATTAACACCAATGCAATTTGTTGACACCAAAAAAAGATTTTTTGCAGAGAAAGCAAGAAAAAGACATTCTGAAATGACTTTCAAGAAGACAGATGCACAAAAAGCTTGTAAAATTGACGTTAATAAAGCATCTAAATTGCACGAAATTGATAGATTTTGTGGCTTCTTGAATGATGAATTATTTGAATATTGAACTCATTTAAGAATTATACTAAGCTTGGTTAATATGGGTGATAGGTGACATTTGTTTGTTGGTGATATATTTTGGATTCTGTCTGGTTAAGGTAGGGGAAATATTTGTAATATGGGTTATAATTTAGTTGGTTATTTTTATATTTTTTATTTTATACTTTTAGGTTATTTTTTTTGTGTGTTAGGTCAGTGGGTGACCAGAAATTATTTTGAAGTGTTATTGGGTTTTTGATTGAAAGATTATATTCCATTATAAGGGCATTGTAGAATGAAGATTGGTTATAAGTCCTGGTTAATACGTAACAAGTATGAGATTTCTCGAGAAATGTCAAAACAATCTGCGCGAACCATAAAGCTTGCTCGTGGTTCTCGCGACTAAAAATATCGTTTGAAAGAATTTGAACATCCAAGATTAGTTATGATCTTTCTGTTATCAACGACTAAGTTCAATCGTGGACAATAAACTAAGAGTTTTATTCATTAAAGATGGCAAAGTCTAAGATAGTGACCTTGAAATTATCAACAGAGACACTCAAGAAATTTCCAGTGGAGAATACTTTAAATCAAACCAAACAAAGAAGGAAGAGTTCAGCATCATCCAAATCATCAAATAGTAGCGCTGGTAATCAATTAGCTACTCCAAGTCCAGTTAAAAAGGAACAGAGTACCAATGATTTAGAGAGCCCTTCAAGGCCTGTTACACCAACTGGTGAAAGTAAAAAAAAAGGTGGACGTGCAAGCGCAAGCAGTGGTGCTGGTCGTGGTAATGCTAAAACAGCAAAAAGGTCAATATTATCTTCACCAGCTCCAGAAAGTTCACCAGGTCCAAGTGATGTTAATGTTAAATCTGGATTAGGCAAAACTGTTACAACTGGTGAAGATGTTTCAAGGGAAGAAAACAACGAAAAACAAGGATTACAAAATGGTGGTCTTGTAAGGAAATGGGTTAAAAAACCTGTGGATATTACTTCGTTCACTGGTTATAATATTGAATTTCATTCATGGACAGGTGGTAAAAGGGATAAACCTAAAGATGATGATACTAATGCTGATTTAAAAGAAACTCTTGTGAAAAAAGAGGATGGTACCACCCCAAAACCAAGTGGATTAAAAGTTCAAATCAAGTTGAATAATAAAAGGCTAGATAATGATAGTAATGTTGATTCTAGAGATCAGTCACCTGCGTTTCCTGATGAAGCCTCATCCATTGCTACAAGTCCTGAAGGTTCAAATGTTGCAACACCAAATTAAACTTGTGTTGATTTCATTCAAGTATATGAACTTAAATGAAAAATATTTGCTTTAAATTGAAATCACAACACGCAATGAATGAGATGCGTTGATAAAGGTAGATAGACCTATTTATACTGGGCTTGATCATGCTGGAGCTCTGCAGGCGTGTTATACTTAGGGGTCTTTGGATGGATAATCAAACGAGGCTTGCGACACACTTGCTGTTTATACTTTGAATGCCATCCAATTGCTTAAGAGACGCGGTATTAACGTAACTGTTGATATTTTGGGGTATTGCATAGATTCATAATTTTATAGTTTCAATAATTGTAAATATATGTACAATACTTTGTTATAATCTGTATCGATACATTAGTTGACTGAAAGATGATCACGATAAACTATTGATAAAGTCATCTCCCGTGACCCAGCTCAGATCCAAAATACATCCAATAGGCATAATTTTTCACTACGTCATCGATGTATAAAAATATTTGGCCGGTATTCATTTATCATTTAATTGAAATATATAATTACACTACCGAATATATAATTAAAAGTAATAATTATTTCATTATTTGTTGATTATATAAGCGAAGCTTTGAATTGTTAATAATTATTTTTGCTAAAAAAATTTTACAACTTTTCTAGGAGAATATATATATATATAGCTACATTTTTATACTCAGTTTTATCATGATTTTGTAAATAGCTTAGTTTTGTCTCATTTGAAGTGGTTTGAAATTTTATTTTGAGTATTTTTGATATTTTCATTTTTAGAACAGATTTTAAATTTTCAATGTCAGCAAAATTTTTTAAATGAAAAAAAGGTGATTTTTAAAACTTCAAATTTCAAGAAAAAAGCATAAGAAGATTATACACTGTTATTCAAATAATTCAATTATAAGTTGAATTAACCCAATTGAAATAATCAACAGGTTTAAATTATATCATATATTATCCAGCGATTCCTAAGCACTTACATAACAATCTCCTTCTTAGGAAAAAATCGCCGAACACCGTTAAAACCGAAATCGATGAAGCTTTTATTGCAACATGTCATGTGAAAGTGCCACAAAATGAAAAAACTCTCACAAACATTCAACAAATGTTGCAAATTAGTTAAGATATTTTGGCGGGAAACTTGAGACTGAAAACTGAAACACCGATTGAAGAGCATGGGGACTTAGCTCTAAAATTGAATACTCACTTGTATAGTTCTTTTCACGATGCTTTGAAGTTGGTTTACTGGTTGTAACTTGTTATCAGTAGTTTCACTGGAAATATGTAGAGTATGTACGCCTCGCGAAATATAATATTTTGCGCATCCCAGATACGATTTCAGAAATCAAACAAAAAGGCAAATATCTTCAGATAAAGGAAGCTTGTTATATCTTGCCTCACAGGAAGATTTTTGTACTTGCTCATTTGGACCTGGTTTTGAAGTATTCCTTGTTACAATTGGTTTTTAAAAAAGTCTGGACTAATTTGATAGCTGAGCGCTAAATTTTAATACAAAATACCTTATAGACGTACTAGTGGAGTCCACCCTACAGGGATTTGAATCTGCAGCTCATCGTGATTCACCCATCGGCTGAAAAGATTTTATACAACATCAAGTTAGTTTGAAGTCCGTTAAAGGTAATCTAGCTACCTGTACTACCAAATTGAAAAAATCGTGTCATAATACTAGTGACATATAAATATAATAATAATGCCGCTTTTGTAAGATCAGCATATATTTCTCAAAATGAGATATAACTTTATAAACAAGAAAAAAGGTTACAATCTCATTTCTAGTGACGTGAAGCCATCAACATTTTCTGATCACAATACCAAAAAGTCTATAGAAATGGGGTTGTTCAAAAAGAATAACCAAATATCAGAAAATTCAATAACCAGGTCAAAAGATGATGATTTAGAAGCTGCTTCATCTTCAAAAAGTCAAATAAAAGCTAAAAGTACTGAAGGTTCAATCTTAGATTCTCACAATGAGGAAGCTAAATTGGGAAAAGAAATTGAAGAAAACGTTATTGAAATAGAGAGTGATGATTATTCATTTGTTGAAGGTGATATATCACTATTGAATAATTCTCCATATCCTGAAGTTCGTGAAGTTGTTCCAAATACAGATGATCCAACGATAAATATTAATCATTGGAGAACATGGGTTTTGACGACCATATTTGTTATAGTATTCTCTGCTGTCAACCAGTTCTTCTCATTACGTTATCCAAGCTTAACCATTAATTATCTTGTTGCTCAAGTCATTGCATATCCAGTGGGAAAATTTTTAGCTAGAGTTTTACCAGATATAAGGTTCAAATATCCATGGTTCAACTTAAATCCAGGACCATATACTATTAAAGAACATGGTATTCTAACGATTTGTGTTGCATTGACATCATCAACTCCATATGCTATGAATATCTTGATTTCTACAACAAATTTCTTTAAAAGAGATTTTGGTACTGGTTATGAAATTTTACTAGTTTGGACAACTCAATGCCTTGGTTATGGATTAGCAGGATTAACTAAAAGATTTGTCGTTGATCCTCCAAGTATGATTTGGCCTCAAACTTTAATTTCAGTCTCAATGTTTGAAGCTTTACATTCTTCAAAAATCGATTCTCAAGTTGTTAATGGATGGAAAATTTCAAGATATTCGTTCTTCCTGGTCGTTTTAATAATTAATTTTGTTTGGTATTGGTTCCCAGGATTCATTTTTAAAGGTTTAAGTTATTTTAATTTTGTGCTATGGGGTTCCAAGACAAGAAATAACTTTGTTGCAAATTTCATATTTGGTGTATCTGGTGGTATTGGTGCTTTACCCATAACTTTTGATTATACTCAAATCACTCAAGCGATGACAGGATCACCATTTGCTACTCCATTTAGTGTTATTGCAAATACTTATTTATCAGTTTTCATTTTCTTTATATTGATCTTACCAATCTTATACTTTACAAATACTTGGTACGCAAAATATTTACCAGTTATCTCTGCAGGAACCTTTGATAATAAACAGAAAAAATATGATGTTAATAAAATTATGGGGGATAATTTTAGAATTGACAAGGAAAAATATAAACAATATTCACCTTTATTTGTTCCTTTTTCATATTTGTTGAGTTATGCATTAAATTTTGCTGCTGTGACAAGTTTATTTGTTCATGTTGGATTATATCATGGTAAGGATATTTGGCGTAAGTTCAGAGATGCAAGAGCTGGTGGGCTAGATATACACCAAAGATTGTATTTGAAAAATTACAAACAAGTCCCAGACTGGTGGTATGCTGTTGTTTTCGTGGTTTTCTTAGCTCTATCTTTTGTTACTGTTTGTCATTGGGATACAGGGTTACCAGCCTGGGGTCTTGTTGTTGCACTTTTAATTAGTATCGTTACATTTTTACCTCAAGGTATTTTAGAAGCTACCACAAACCAAGAAGTTGGTTTAAACATTATCACTGAATTAATCGGTGGTTATATTTTCCCATTCCGTCCTATGGCAAACTTATTAATCAAAATTTATGGATTTATTGTTATGAGACAAGGCTTAAACTTATCAAGGGATTTAAAATTAGGTCTATATTTGAAAATTGCACCAAGAATTTTATTCTTTATTCAAATTTATAGCACATTATTAGCTGGTGTTACTCAAGTCTTAGTTCAACAATGGATGAGATCAAACATCGAAGGAATTTGTGAACCATCGCAAAAAGATGGTTTCATTTGTGCAGGTGCTCGTACAATCACGAATGCTGCTGTAATTTGGTCAATTCCTCAATATTTATTCTCTGCAGGACAAAGATATTCCCCATTATTATTGTTCTTTATAATAGGTCCAGTTTTGTCATTTTGTGGTTGGTTATTACATAGAAGATGGCCAGATAAAATTATTGGTAAATTTAATGCACCAATTTTCTTTGTTGGACCTGGTAATATCCCACCAGCAACTCCATATAATTATGGTTGTTATTTCGTATTATCAGCATTTTTGAACTGGCTAAGAAATAAATGGCCAAGATGGGATGCTAAGTATAAATTTATTATGGGTGCTGGTGTTGAAACCGGTGTTGCAATTAGTGTCGTTGTTATTTTCTTGTGTGCTCAATATCCAGGAGGGAAATTGAGCTGGTGGGGTAATGAAGTTTATAAAAATACTATTGATTTGAAAGGATCGACTTATTATAAGTTACCTGAGGGTCAAACTTTTGGTCCTGATAAGTGGTGGTGATTGAACTTTTCAATGGGTGATTTAGTTTCACTAATTTCTTACGATTTCATGAATACATGTTATGTTCTGCTTTAGTTTTAAAATTTTTAATAATAAAGCTATTTTGTTGTATATATAGGTTTATGAAAGAGATTGAGTATTGGTGTTTTAACTAATTAGAGCCAGAGGCTAGCTTACCATCCCAACAGTACTCTTCAAAACATTTAGCACACTCAGCAGATTGTTCCTCATTGTTACGTTCTTGGGTACGGCGGATGATGGCACAAGCAACACATTTGTTCCAGTCTTCATCAATGGTCATATTATATCTTGAAGCAACTTCATAACCATTTTGAATCATACCTAATTTTTCCTCTTCATCGTATTCAAGTTTGAAAGTTGAAGTGTTTGATGAGAAAGAATAAGGTTCATTTGCAATATAAACAACTAACGGTGGAACATACGACAAATCTGTTAAGTTTGAAGAATCACAACCGAAAAATGTTGGTTGTGTAGTCAAATTATGAGCTATGAAAGTATTTTGGTCAGGAACATACGGGAATGCAGTGCCGTTACCTTGGACTGAAAATTGACGTTGATAAGTAGCAATTAAAGCTGAACCATCTGGGAGATTATCAGTGTCTGCAGAGTTATCAAATGCAAAAATAATATCAACATCACGTTCTGGTTGAACAAGTGGAGCAACCGGAATATTTTGTCCATCTTCACCACCATCACACAAGTATAAATTTTCATCTTCAATAATTGTCTTGACAGCAGCATAGGGTGTCTTGTAGAATGGATTTGGACCATAAACGGCAATATCCTCATTATCATCACTGAGGTTTTGCAGGAAATCCTCAATTATATCATAAACGATACCAGTAATTCCAGTGGTATTCAGTTGTAAGATGAATTGATTAAACAATGAAGATGAAGTACCCATGACAAATCCTGCGTTATCAAAACCTGCAACGCAAGATTCACTTTCTGGGACACCATTTGACACATCAGATCCAATGTATTTTAAATCAGTGAATGCATATAGTGAAGGATCCCATGAACCTAATTCGAATGGAGTGAACTCGAAAACAGTTGAATTCAAGTTAATAATCTTGGTAGTTGGTGCTCTACCAAGCGCAACACTAATTGGTAATGGCATTTCACCATTTTGAAACACATCAACATCTCTCAAAGTTGAAAAAGTCAGACCATCTGCACCATTATCATGAGTACCGAAGAACTGATAAGATAGAGCTCTTCCCCAGATATCAGTGATTGTAGTATCGAAACCAGCATCCTTTTTTTCCTGGATAGAAGCGCCAATTTCACTCCATTGAATAATAGTTTGGAAAATGTTGATACCACCTGGTGCAATAATTGAATGTTCTAAGTCCCAGATCGAATCACCTCTAATAATCTCTTGAACACTCGTCCAATTGTTTAGAGCCAAAGTACCAGTCATCCAATTACCACCGGAAAGACCTGTTAAGTATGTAGAGGCTTGTAATAACCCACCGAGACCAGTTCTTTTAGCACCATCGGTTCTATCATCCAAAGCACTGATTTGACCAGCACTACAGAGCATAGATCTATATCCACCACCTGAGAATGCAAGTCCAATGTTGATAGATCGATTGTTACTATCAAAAAACTCTTGGACATCAAAATTTTTTAAAGCGGCTCTTTCCAAAAATTCTTTCAAAGCTTCATCAGTATGCTCATGTCTTTTCTTCAACCAATTGGATTCATCTTCACATAAGCCTCTTGAGCGTCTTACGAGACCTGAATCACCAGCGGTACTCTTTTTTGGACATGGAACCTTAGCAGGTCCATAACCACCGGAAGGTGAATAAGCTGCTGTTAGCGAAAGTGTTTGTATTATCAGCACCAAAATTAATAGCTTCATTTTTTCTCTGCAGGGGTCGAGGAAAGCAAATCTAAATGGCAACGAGTAAGTAGTAGACCTATAATTTATTCTTGAAGATGAATGTTAGTGAAGGCCTGAATTTAAGGATCAAAATATGGAAAACATAGTTTTATATATCTAGATAACTGAACCTCATGGTGATCTACCCAAATGTTTTTATTTTACGAATTTATTAAGGTTTTAAGAAAGCTGCACTAAAAGGCTGTTGTAGGTTGTGAATATCAATCACAGATCGAAAGATTGGTTCAACATTGGTGCACGTGTTGGCACAATTAATAGTGCTAAGTGCTAAGCACAGTCAGTAACCTGTTGTAATCATAGCTGCCAGATCTGCGATTTATTCCTTTCTAAAAGCGCATGGAAAACGTAGTGATAGTGCATAGGAATATTATTTCATGACCTTCCTTAGATATATCTCAAGTTTCAACGGAATTTAGAAATCATTTTGTAAATTTAATCGATTGACGTTATAATTTCAGATACGACTTGATTATTTTTAAGTTCATGCATCAATGTTTATCTTTCTGGGACCTGTTGAGCCTGTCAACCGTTATTATGAATTACAGCCCCTGCAGGCAAAAAAATTGAGATCCAGTAGACAGTGTTTAATACTTATGGCTGTTCTTTTGGATAAACTCTAGACTCTGCGCTTTCTAAGTCACAGAAGGTGAACGTGATCGTAGTGGCTGTCATATGGCATATTAATAAAGCAATTAAAGGTTGGTTCTAGGGCGGTATTAAAATGTTATATTTTTATGTTGATACTACGATTCCCAAAAATTGATGGCTGATATGAATTGTACACATATTTAGTATCTAAATCTATATATATATATATCTGAAAGAAAATAAGAACATCGTGAAAAAAGAAAGAATGAACTTTTGATTTCTTCAAGTTTGTATGAATTTTAAATGAAAGTAAAGACGTATGATAATTGATTTTTGAAATTAGTGAAATAATGCAAAGTCTGAAACGAAAAAAAAGCATAATATAACGAATGAGAAACTCATTTATATGAAAGCATTAGAGAACCTGATGATTATGATGTACTATCTCTTGCATTTGAGCTAGCACCATTGTATAAAATCATGACCTGAGATCAACATCTTCGGAGGCTAGTTTACCATCCCAACAGTACTCTTCAAAACATTTAGCACACTCAGCAGATTGTTCCTCATTGTTACGTTCTTGGGTACGGCGGATGATGGCACAAGCAACACATTTGTTCCAGTCTTCATCAATGGTCATATTACATCTTGAAGCAACTTCATAACCGTTTTGAATCATACCTAGTTTTTCCTCTTCATCGTATTCAAGTTTGAAAGTTGAAGTGTTTGATGAGAAAGAATAAGGCTCATTCGCAATATAAACAACTAATGGTGGAACGTATGTCAAATCTGTCAAGTTTGAAGAATCACAGCCAAAAAATGTTGGTTGTGTAGTTAAATTATGAGCAAGGAAAGTTTTTTGATCTGGAACATATGGGAAAGCAGTTCCATTACCTTGTACAGAAAACTGACGTTGATAAGTAGCAATTAAAGGTGTCCCATCTGGATAACCATCATCACTGTCCCCATTGTTATCAAACGCAAAAATAATATCAACGTCACGTTCTGGTTGAACCAGTGGAGCAAATGGAATAGTTTGTCCATCTTCACCACCATCACACAAATATAGGTTTTCATCTTCAACAATTGTTTTAACAGCAGCATAAGGTGTGTGGTAGAATGGATTTGGACCATAAATAGCAATATCCTCATTGTCATCACTGAGTTTTTGTAGGAAATCTTCAACTAAATCATAGATGATACCAGTGAGTCCAGTGGTATTTAGTTGCAGAATGAATTGATTGAACAATGAAGATGAAGTGCCCAGGACAAAACCTGCATTATCAAAACCCGCAACGCAAGATTCACTTTCTGGGACACCATTTGATACATCAGATCCAATGTATTTTAAGTCAGTGAACGCATATAGCGAAGGATCCCATGAACCTAATTCGAATGGAGTGAACTCGAAAACAGTTGAGTTCAAGTTAATAATCTTGGAAGTTGGAGTTCTACCAACTGCAACACTAATTGGTAATGGCATTTCACCATTTTGAAAAACATCAACATCTCTTAAAGTTGAAAAAGTCAGACCAGCTGAACCACTATCATGAGTGCCAAAAAACTGATAAGACAGAGCTCTTCCCCAGATATCAGTGATTGTAGTATCGAAACCAGCATTTTTTTTTTCTTGGATAGAATGACCGATTTCACCCCATTGAATAATAGTTTGGAAAATGTTGATACCACCTGGTGCAATAATTGAATGTTCTAAGTCCCAGATAGAATGACCTCTAATAATCTCTTGAACGCTAGTCCAGTTGTTTAAAGCCAAAGTTCCAGTCATCCAATTACCACCAGAAAGACCTGCTAAGTAAGTAGAGGCTTGTAATAACCCACCAAGACCAGTTTCTTTAGAACCATCGGTTCTATCATCCAAAGCACTGATTTGACCAGCACCACAGAGCATAGCTCTGTAACCACCACCTGAAAATGCTAAACCAATGTTGATTGACTGATTATTATTATTGAAAAATTGTTCAACATCAAAATCTTCTAAAGCGGCTCTTTTTAAAAATTCTTTCAAAGCTTCATCAGTATGTTCATGTCTTTTCTTCAACCAGTTGGATTCATCTTCACATAGACCTCTTGAACGTCTAACCAGTCCTGAATCACCAGCGGTACTCTTCTTTGGACATGTAACCTTAGCAGGTCCATAACCACCGGAATGTGAAAAAGCCGCCGTTAGCGATAGTGTTTGAATTATCAGAACCAAAATGAGTAGTTTCATTATTTGTTTGTAATGGTCCAAAGGGAAGCAAATAAGAATAGCAATGTGGAACTAGTGGACCTCTACCCGAATTCAAGGATCAAAATACGGAAAGTATAGTTTTATACACCTAAATCTCATTGTGATCTGATAATTGATTGTTTTGATTTTACGAGGGCACTAAGTTTTGAAAGTCCACATTTGAGCGTGCCCACTGCCCATACCAAAAGAAAGATCACGGTTCACGAACTTTTGACGAAAAGCGCATAATGCAAAGGATAGTAAGCAATAAATTAAAGCTCTTTGCAAGTTGAATCAACTTATTTTGCTCGTTTTTATAGGCCTATTAATGTCACTGACCCTCAAAATTTAGTATTCGAGGTCGGTTTAAATGGGTTTGGAAGGTTTTGAAGATGTGGGTTCCCGGTTGCTAGAGTATGCTGTCGTCTATTATTGAACGACTCCAAACGTTAAAGATAAATCTAAAGAAGTTGCTGCTAAATATTGGAACAGCTCAAAGTGCATATACCTTCAAAATTTGCAACCTTGAAGAGTAATGAGGTTCTTCGTTTGCAAATTACTGATCAGATTCATATTGTCTCAAGCCGCAGCATTTACACAAATTTTGACCTGCATCATTTTAATCAACACATGAAAGTTCAGTACAACATATATTGGAGGATACAGAAAGTTAAAGACGTATCACAAGGTCTAGCTGTTATATTTTGAGTATTATGGTTCGGGTACGTAATGAGGTTGCGTGCTAGTCGTGCTAGTTATGAACTTAGGCTGCCGTCATTCGATTTTCGGCCAATGTTTCTGTTCATATACGATTTATTTCGGGTTCAACTTTAAAGTCCTAACTATTTTTTTCACTTGTGATCTCATATCATTACTAGTTGATAGTGACTATATTATTTATCATTTTGAGTTATTTGCTATATTTAAGTCACTAACGTGCCTCTGGTTCCTGACGATGGTTTATGTCTTTAAACTTGCATTCTTTGATACTGGGTCTATAAAATTTATATGCATGATCATACCCAAGCAGGTTGGTTAAATACTCAAAGGCTAAAGCTTGCAGATCATTTGGTGAGCGCTGAGTAGCTTCGAAACATATTATAGGACTTTGTTTTAAAGGGTTACTTGCTGAAATATAAAGCCGTCAGCAACCAGATATATGCTGATACTAGAGGCTGTTTGTGCTGTATACAGAGATTATGATTCTTGAAGCTGATACTAGTTCACTGGTGGTGATTCGTGAATGTTTTTCGGTGATGCCACGGATGATAATTCATATACGCATTTGCTGAACAGATTACTTGTTTTTCACGAGATGTCGTGTTCAGCCCAGCAAGTTCTGAAAACACCATGGGGACTGGAGTTCATGATGCCATAATGTTATAGCCTGTATTCTTGTTGAGCTCATCGAATTTGAGCTCCAAGTATACTATAGCTCTCAAAGTCTTTATTTAGATTTTTATGGGCCTATAATCACACATCACACATATTTTAATTTTATTTATTTATATTGAACTACATTTCGAGGGACTTTATATCTAGATTTTGGAGCTATAACCAGGGTCCAGAAGCAGAAAATGCAAAAATTCTAAGTTTGAATATTTAAGGAGATGTGTTTTCCAAAAAAACTTAATTGGTAGAATTAGAATTGTGATTATTCATATATTATAGGTTCAAATCATACACATAGATGGAAGGCTGAAGCTGGGTAGTGGATTTGGACTCTCAAGGAATACGCTCATCCCTCAAACCTCGGTCCTCAACCCAATACAAGGTGTTGAATTTTATTTAAGACCATATGCATTGATGAATCGAGACTCAACATTTAACATTGGGTCTTGTATTTAATTCCATGTTGGTATGTTGGTCAAATGAAGTTTCTGTACAGTACAGACATCCAGATTCCACACCAAACCTTTTTAACGACGAGCTCAGGAACATATGGGACCTAATTCATATGCATTTATTAGTATTTACGTGAAAAATACTAAATTTGCTTATTAGGATCTACAATTCTACCGGAGAGAGGTTGTCAATTACAATTTACAGAGCATCATTAAATCTTACCATGAATTGATCTATAAATTACGAACAACAACTGTTAGAGGGTTGATCCTCATTTGTCAGTTTGACATTTTAATTATCTCAAAATTTGGACTTTCAACGTTTTCAAGGAAAGTAAATCATAATTCAAAAATATAGAATTTTAAAAGAATATAATTTATCTAGATAACTAACATGCTTAGCAGACTCATGCGTATACAAGAGAGGACTACGATGTTCTTTGAATAATAGCGATGCGCTAAATTATTATCAAGTGTCAAATCAATAAAGATGTACAAGAAGTATTGGTGAAACAATTATTTGGTGAACAAAGGGAAAGTTTGCGTTTTCAGTTAAGGTTTCAATAAGCTGAATACAGAACAAGCATCACAATACCACTTATTTTATTCTTGAAGGCATGCTACTCTTTTTATAGACGGAGCTGTATATTTTTGGCTGATATGGGAACAAGTTTACTATTATCGAATCTATATTCATTTGATAAATTTAAAACGGATTATTGATACACTTTCTATTTCTAGAGTATCTGCAAAATCAAAATTTTAAAGAATCTCTGGCCGATGGAATCAAGTTCAATCACTTTTTGCTAGATAGTGATTCCCAAAGTGGACTATTAAAGTTTATTAAACAATAAAGATGACTTGTTTATTAATAAATGAATGATTTCAAGGTTTTCAAACAAGCTTAAACTATTCATGATCTCAAATTATTCTCAAAGGGTTCAAGAGGCTAATAGTTTCCACGAATACAAGAGAATTTTACATTGTCAAATATTTCAAGATACTATCAATAAACACGCAACAATTCCCATTCTCCAGTATAAAAATAATATAAACGTTGGATAACAGAGTTCAGATAATATGAGAACATGTGGTTACTCCGTCTAATCCAGCTTAACGTTTTAAATGAATGATTATTCTCTTTTGAAGTTGTAATATTTGAAGCATTTAAAAATGCAAATAGTCAAGGGGATATCATATAAATGAAGAGCGGTGTGATATTATTGATACATATAATCGTTTCTAAATGGTATAACGCAACTAATATACATTAATAGCCATCTCCAAAACTCTATATATAATATCTGGCCATGATGTATGTTTTCATTCAGGCTTTCACTTTCTACACTGATATATTATTCAAGTATTTTAATTAATAAGTTTCAACTTACAATATATCGCTTTTAACTATGAAAAGCTTGTGTATAACTAATTAAATTTATATTTATTTATGCATGACTTCGTTATAAAAAATGGCATGACTGCACTGTAGTTTTAAAGCACTATACTTCTAAAGTACTTTAGTTTAAATGACAAATTAAAGTATTATTAAATGATTAAAAAAACTTGGTATGTAGCGAATATTTGTACTGATTAGCAACATAGATCATTATAGGACTCTAATAATGCTTTATAGTCCATTTAACCTATGATTTTCCACAATGAATCAACTGTGAATACAACAGTAGCTGTGATACAAGCAATAAACTCATCATCTTTGGTGTATGCTCTTGCATAGACAACATATCTACCTGGTGGAACTTCATTTGGAATTTCAACAGTTTTGGTTAATTTGTATTCGCCTTTTGATAATGGACATTCTAAATCAACTTCACCAACTTCTGAACATAAATCATATGTTTGTGAGATTAGTTTGATATAACCATATCTGACATCAACATCAACGTAAGCACCTTCAGCAACATCTGCACTCAAGTGACCAATAGCATTGACAGTTAAGTTAGCACCACGTTGAGGTTGCTCTGGAGAGAGCTCAACCAAATCAATGGTTAATAATTGTTTTTCCAAAACATCACAAGTTGAAACTGGAGAACCACCTGGGATTGGTTTCTCACCTGGTAAAGTGTTTGACTTTAGCGGTGATTGTTCTTCAGCAGCAAAGATTGAAGTGGCTAAAGCTTGTGATATGATGAGAGGCAAGAGTAAGTATTTGTTAAATGAAACCATAATAGTATTTTATAGTGTTTTATTTTTAGTTATAGGTTGATGACTACCAATGTAAGTGCTTCTAAGAGTACTCCTTATCAAATGAAGCAGCCCTTTTCTTTTCTAAAATTGAGAATTGCGCCAAATTGGTCGGAATGGGAGATTGTGTCATGTGAAAAACCCTCAATTACGAGGGTATAGCGAATTCTTGAGCCATACTCAACAATTAAGTCAGAGCTCTCTGGACAGATAACAAGAGGTTTGCCACATATAAAAAGGATTGATGAGTATCTTGTTTTTGAATCAACTCAAGAACTTTGCCGGTAGAAACATATTTACTGCTACAAACAGAATCACCAAAAGAATGACTTCCACAAATCAATCGTTCGATATCAACAATTTCTACGCCGATGCTAATGCCCCAGTGGTGAATTTATCAGCTAAGGACTTTTTCCATCAATTGACTGATGCAGAACAAAAATATGCTCATTATATCTCTAAAGCTGGTCATTACGGCTCTAGAATTGTTGCAAGACAAGTTTCACATGAATCTGAAGCTATTGTTGACTTGATTGTTCAAATCCAAAAGAACTTGAACTCCGACTACTCCAAGCTTTCTGTTAGTGAAACTTCTAAGAAAGGATATTTGGAATACGCATCCCAAATCTTAAGTAACTTAGGTAATTACAAGTCATTTGGTGATAAGAAGTTTATCCCAAGAGTGCCTGCTGAAGATTTTGAGCAAATTGTTAAAGAGTCAAGTATTGACTTAGGTTTGTTCAATAAAATCAAAGATTCAATCTATTCAATCAACGAGAAATCCGCTTTATTAGGTTATCCAGCTGAAGGTCACGTCTCAGGTTACTACATTGGTGATGTTTCAAAAGATGATGTTGTTTTAATCAAAAAAGTTTTAAGTGAAAATCAAGTCTTATTTGAGAACTTGAGAATCAAAAAGAATAACGACACAGAGTTCACCATTTTGGTTGCCTCAAAGTTGACAGAAAATAAGACATCTTATCCTAATGAGATTTCAGCAGATGGTATTAAAATAAATTTACAATTTGGTGATTACTCCAAAGAATTTGCTAAGATCAATGAGAACTTAGAAAAGGCTAAAGAAGTTGCAGCTAATGAGACACAAGTCAAGATGCTTGATGCTTATATTGAATCATTTGAAACTGGTTCAATCAATGCTCATAAGGAATCTCAAAAATACTGGGTGAAAGATATTTCACCAGTTATTGAAACAAACATTGGTTTCATTGAAACTTACAGAGAACCAGGTGGTGTTGCTGGTGAATGGGAAACTTTAGTCTCTATTCAAAATAAAGAACAAACTAAGAAGTTTCAAAAATTAGTCGACAGTGCTCCACAGTACATCAAATTATTACCATGGGGTGAAGAATATGAAAAAGATGTTTTCCAAGCTCCAGATTTCACTTCATTGGAAGTTTTAACGTTCGCGGGTTCAGGTATTCCAGCTGGTATCAATATTCCAAATTATGATGATATTAGACAAAACATTGGGTTCAAAAACGTTAATTTAGGTAACATTGTGAGAGCTAGATCTGGTAAACAACCAATTACTTTCTTAAGTCCAGAAGACTCCGAACTTTACAATAAATATGCCGATCAATCATTTGAAGTTCAAGTTGGTATTCATGAATTATTAGGTCATGGTTCAGGTAAATTACTCTCTGAAAATCAAGATGGCACCTTCAATTATGATCATGAAAACCCACCATTAGGTGTTGATGGTAAACCGGTTACTACTTATTACAAAAAAGGTGAAACATGGGGGTCAAAGTTCGGTTCATTAGCTGGTGCATATGAAGAATGTAGAGCTGAAGTTATTGCATTATATTTGATTACAGACCCTGAAATTTTAACAACTTTTGGATTCAAAACCAAAGAGGAACAACGCGCTATTATCTATGTTGGATTCTTACAAATGGCTAGAGCTGGGTTCACTGCTTTGGAACAATATGATCCAGCTTCTAAAAAATGGGGTCAAGCTCATTCTCAAGCTAGATATGCAATTTTGAAGACCTTATTACAAGCTAACTTGGTTGAACTAGTTTACACTAAACCGGAAAATAGTGACTTGTATATCAAAGTTGACGAATCAAAGATTGAAACTGTTGGCCATCAAGCCGTTAAAGATTATTTAACACATTTACACATTTACAAAGCTTCAGGTGATTATGAAAATGGTTCTAAATACTTTATCGACAGATCAAGTGTTCATGAAGAAGAGCTTGGAAAATTCAGAAAAATTGTCATGGATTCGAGATTACCAAGAAAACAATTTATCCAAGCAAACACTGAAATTGTTGATGGTAAAGTTGTTTTGAAAGAATATGAAGAATCAGAAGTTGGTTTAATCCAAAGTTTTGTCGAAAGAGATTACTAAGTGTACAATGGATGCTTCTTTTATTTAGATCATCTGTAGAAACAGTTAATTATCACTTGACAAGTCACTTTTACTGCTATTTTGTTTGAGCAAATTGAGTAATTTCTTCACCTCCTTATTTTCTGATCTGATGTGAGTGCGAACTGTTAAATTAGAATCGATAGACTCATGATCAGAATCACTTGAACTCGGTTGAAAGTTGACTTTTCTTGAGTTATTATTGGTGTTTGAGATAGCTGACGATCCACGAGTGGAAATTCTAGAATTTGTCTTATTTATCTTCTTAACAGCACTCTCAAAGGATAGAAGTCTCAGCTCTAATAGTTTGATTCTATTGTTCTTTGCTTCAATGATTTGCTGGAGCGCATTCAATGAATTGTTCGAAACACTTCCTTTTCGAGCTTCCGATAAGCTTTTACTCAATGACCAGTGCTCTTTAATGATTAATGAAACAGCTTCTTCGATAAATAAGCTGACGTTATGCATCTTCTCCAAGGCTCCATCGTCTGTATCATTTTTTAAGTCATCACGCACACCAGATAAAGACTCACCATCAATAATACCATCCAAGTTTTGTATAATACTATAGGAAAGTCCAGAAAGAGTCCGTTTTAGCTCTTGTATATGGCCGTTGTGCTTGAGTATTTCTGATCTTATAACTCTATTCTTTTCACCAGATTCTTTCAAGTTTTGGCTCAAAGTTTCACAACGTTTCTCTAGAACGGAAGATTGGGTGTATTTTGCACTCAGTTTAGCCCTTGTATCTTTAAGCTCTGACGCCAAATTTGCTTCAATTTGTTCAAGAGTTTTCACTCTACCATTTAATCTTTGGATATCTTCATCTTTTCTTCTTATCAAATTCCCCAAACGACGTTCTACCTCTTCAAGTTGGCTTGACTTTTGTTCCAATTTGATCTTGAAATTCTCAGCTTCTGTCTCCAATTTTTGTTTTTGATCTTGATCAATTCTTGATGATGTATGCAATGCTTCATTCTCAACTTCCATAGCTTTGTTTTTGTGATTTAAGTTATTAATTGTTTCGGTTTGAGCATCAAACTCTTGCTGAACTTCATTTACCAAGGAAAGCTGGTCTTCAAGTATCTTCTCCATATTTTGGACCTTCTTGTCTTGTACAACCCTATCATTTTCGTGCTCTTGTATCTTTGCTTCCATTTCTTTGTTTCTAAATTTCTCATTATCTATTTCATTTTGAAGCTTAGTGTATTTCAATTCAAGATTTTTCAAGCTCATTGACAATTTTTCATTAGTGTTTTCATGGTTTTCAATTTCCAGCTCTTTCTCTTCGATAAACTTTAAATTTTTGGCATTTTGGTCTTCTAAAATCTTCTTACCGTTCAAAAGTTCATCATTTTTATGCTTGAGTACCTCTAAATCTTCATCCAAGTCTCTTTTGATCTTTTTATGTAATTGCTCAGCGCGCTTGTATGTTTTCTCCTGTTCTTTAAGTTTGTGATTTAACTTTAAAAGTGATTTCAATTGGGTGAATGCCAGCTTTTCATTCGATAAATCAAAAGACTGAGTTGAATGTTCAGATACCAACCTAGAAATATTTTCAATAAACAACTCCTTTTCCTCAATATGGGAGCGGCAATCTTCAAGTAAAGAGTCACGGGTAGCTAATTCTTCATCATAACCACTGTATTTTTGAGCTTCCAATTTTAAAGCCTTTTCTTGCGACTTAACTGCACTTTCACGAGAGTTGTATTTTCCTTGAATACTTTGTAATTTCCCATTTAGATCTGAAATTGCAGAGTTTAAAGACTCAACAATTTTATCCTTTTGATTGACAATATCTTCATGATCATGTTGTTGTTTGGAAAGCTTTATGAGTTGAATTTTGAGAGCATTCAGTTTTTTGTCATTTTCTCTTGCAAAATTTAAAATTTGATCAATATAATAGCTCAAGTTCTTGCTCTCACCAGACACACTGTGATCCAAGGAGAATGTTTTTTTATCTTGTGATAAAGTCTTCAAGATTTGGTGGACTTTGTGCTTAACTTCATCTTCTATTACTGACGAAAATTTCGCATCTTTATGTGAAGACACATCTGTCTCATGCACAACAGGATTTACCAGGATAATTTTTTTTTCAGTTGAGGTTACCGGTGACTGTTCAGGGATTATGGGAGCAGTGGTGTCTTGGACCTTGTTGGATAGCAGGGCTGGGCGTGATTGTTCAAGGATGTCAACATGGTCAAACGATTCTTCACCACTTCCATCACTATTGAGTCTTCTGAAATCAGCATCTTGAAGTCTCAAAGAGAACGGTTTACCTTTTGGTGTACTTTCTGTATATTGTAACTTTTGTTCTGGTTGAGTTTCAGGGATATTTATTCTCCGGAATGTTTCAGGTCCCGTTCTTGGTCCATCGACGACAGTCGTTAATTTTGAAGATTCATTGACATTCTCAAACTTTAATGGAGCACTTTCATTATCTGTTGGTGCTGAAAGGGTGTCAGTCTTTGAGAATAAACTACTACCACCATCTGTCGATGCGGAAACAATAGCAGAGGAGTCATATGTTGATTTTGGATCGTTTTTTGATTCATTTGTCTTGCCTTGTGCAAATTTTATTTTAATATCTTTGGCACCAGATTGCGACTTTTTTGTTTCTTCAGATGATAGTCCAGCTGGTAATAAGAACTCCTTCTGAGTCAAGGTAAGGTGATTTGAATGATCATTGAATTCAGAAACTTCTGTCGTGTCCGGTGTTGCGCTATATTCACTTGATGGCAGCCTTTCTCTAGACGATGGTTTCGTATACCCAGAATTTGATTTCAAAAACATAGATTGCAATTGAGATATAGATTTTTGATTTTGGCTTTTGGTTGGTTTATTCGAAACTTGAGGTTGACTATTGGGGATATCTCCATCTTTGAATCTAACACTTTTCAGACCATCATTCATACCCAAAGGACCATAGTTTCCCTGTTTATTCTTTGAATTATATTTATGAGACTTCAAAGTTGTACTGTTAGCAATCGGTATTTCAACATCTGTCGTGTTCTCCACAAATGGATCAAAGCCTAAACTTTTGGTGTCAAAGTCATCATCATCATGATCATCATCTTGGTCGTCATTTTCATCATATCCATAATAGTCATCATAATCAGCATTTGTTGAAATATTACTTCTATTACCAATTTCTAAACTCGAACCACTGGGAGTTTTAGTATTTTGTGATTCACTTGATGCTTTAATTGGTGAAGAGTTTGTACTGAATGCCTTTCTGGAAAAATCAAACAACCCTCTTCTTGTGGAGTTAGCAGTTTGTGCTGGTCTTGAAGCTGATTTTCTAAGTGATCTTAACTCTTCGTTGACACTATCCATAGAAGAAACCACAGAGCTTGAGGACGAGGATTTGATGCTCATACTTGATCTGTTGATAATAATATTAAGCTTAGCGGGTGACAAATTTCAAATTAAACACAAGTCAACTAGCTTTTCTCAGATCAAGCCCACCAGCAATACAGCCCAGTAAACAAGTTTATTTCACCAACCATCTTTTCAATTCCACAAAAAGTATCACAGTGGTCCAAATAGGTTGTTACTCTGGTGTTGTTTTCACTTTTAATTAATTCACTTTTGTGTAACGTCCGGAAATTCATGGGAAGTGATTGAAGTTGGTCGGATCTTATCCTTAATCAACTAAACTTTAATACACGACTTTTCATTTAGCAAAGCTATTGGAAATTATTCTAAAGAATATGTAGTTTAATAGCTACTGCTCCAAAGAAGAATCAAGATTGTGTAAGATATCGAGAGATCAGCTGATTTGTGTACTTAGAATGGACTTATAATCAAGATATCTATTCGTCCATGTCGATCGGTAAATGAAACGAGATAATTCCAGCGAAATTAATTGCCATTTGATTAATCCAGATAATATTTAGATAAAAACTTGAACTACACAAGAGGCTGTAATTGTTTTAGAATGATTGCAAAGCATTGTAGCACATTTCTATTATATTATATTACATCAATGATCTGATACGAGTTTGTATTCAAGTGTACTTGTCACACTAACATATAACAGATAAAACAATATAGGATATAAAATGCAACCTTCATCAGCTAGAACTTCATGATACTTCATTATATAAATAAAATTGAAACAAATAAAAAGGATAATAACATTAATTGATAAAATATATTTAACTTTTCTTCTTTATATTACACATTCTGATTTGACAAAAAACAAAAATTGATATAGTTTCATATATGGAATGGATATATGATATGCAAAACATGAAAGGCGAATACGTCACCGTATTCAGTAAATAATACAAATATATTAAAGCTTTCTAATTTGAATTACAGAAAAACTTGATCTAAAAACAAACTTAAAAACACACTATTGGAAATATTGATTATTAGGATCTTGTTGAGGTTGTGGATAATATTGACCCATTGTTGGAGGGGGATACATCTGTTGTTGTTGTTGTTGTTGATTATTGAAGACAGGTAACTGGTTTTGTTGAAATGGAATATTAGCTCTCCCTTCAAACTGCTGTTGATTGACTGCATTAGGATCATTTGGTATGAAACCTCCTTCTAAATGTGATGGTTGTTGATGATTTGGTGGTACATCTGGTGCATATGGATAATTACCAAAGCCTTGATATGGTATACCTTGAGGTTGCTGACTCTCTTGTTGTGGAAATGGTTGATTAGGCCCTGGCACTTGTTGGTGTTGAGGTTGCACAGATGGAACTATTAACTGATGCGGTTGGAAAGATTGTGTTGTTGAAGACTGATGGTGTTGTTGGAAAGGCTGGAAAACTGGACCTGGAGGAACTTGAGGAACATTGAAATTTGTATGTGGATGTTGTTGAGGTTGTAATGGCGGTGATTGCTGTTGAAGCGGCTGTTGTGGTTGTGGTTGTGGTTGTGGTTGAAATTGTGGTTGATTTTGATCATATATTGGTCTTGGATAATATCCAGGAACAAAAGAATCTGTATTTGGAATTCCAATTTGATGCTGAGGTGCCATTTGGGGTATTGATGATTGAGGTAATGGTGGTGGTGGATGTTGTTGGCCAAAATCATTTGCAAAGTGAAATTGTGGGTTTTGAATTTGATTATTCTGTTGATGACTTTGCAATTGTTGAAGGTGTTGTAATTCAGATTGTTTTGAAATTGATAATTCATTAGCAGCTGTTTGAAATCCTGAACCTTCTGGTAAATGACTTGATGAGCTGAATTCTTCTATACTTGGAAGACCCATATCTTTAATTAATTCTTCATGACCTTCTTGCTTTAGCTCACCAATTGCTTCTTCATAATTGAATGCAACAATAATACTTCTATCAAGCTTTTTCAAATTCAAAAATCCTCTTAGCAAATCTCTTTTAAACATTCTCTTTTCACAATATATTGCACATGAATTTATACGAGGAATCAAATAAATTCTCATATCAGATTTATATCTTGGTCTTGCAACTTTTTTCTTCAAGAATATTGTTGAGGGACGATCACCTTTAGAGCCAATTGCTTCACTGTATATTTGATTTTCTTCAACTGTTTTTAAATCTTCATCTTCATCATCATTCAAATGGGAATAACCTGGCATTGCAGTTTCAATTTTCAATAATACAGAACCACCGACTTCAGTTGCTGCTGCCCTTGAAACCCTAATCAAAGTATAATCAGCCAGACCGAATAATTGATGTACAGCTTCATCTATATCTGCAAATTTTGGTATATTGGTTTTTTCAGGACTAGAACTTCCATCTTCACTAAACCTTGCAACTTTCACATTCAATAATGATGAAAATCCAGAGATCACATTTCTTGTTGATAGTTCTTCATTTGTGAGATATACACTATCGTCTTCATTTGAATATTGTAAAACTTTCAAAGTTTTTCTCATGGTATCAGACACAAGAATTGAATATAATATACCCAAAGTTGGAACCAGCGTCAATCTAACTCTCGTCTCTTTGGATAATGGACGTCCTTGAGGTCTTGTTATAGCTGACGGTTTTCTCTGTTGTTGTTTATCTTTAGATTTACTTGATCTTCGTCTTCTAGCTAGCTGAACATATGAGGCAGATGTTGAATCTTCTGATGACTTTCTAGTGTCTATATCTGAAATTTGTGGAGCATCCAACGTAGCTAGTTGTGTGCTTCCTGCTGATGAAGAAAGAAAAGATGGATTGAATTGATTGGTCAAGCTTGAGTTGGATCCTGAAGTTGCAGACGATGAAGATCTATGCTGATTAAACGTATTTGATATATTGGGGAGTGGTGGTGGTATATTCATCAGGTTATATTGGGATTGTGGTACAATATTCAAAGGACCGAATGGATTTTGTTGTTGTTGTTGTTGTTGTTGTTGTTGTTGTTGTTGTTGTTGTTGTTGAAAATGTTGGGGAGGTTGATTTTGTTGATTTTGTTGTTGTTGTTGCTGTTGTTGATTGCGTTCTTCACTATCAGAGTTATCATTTTGTAAAGAATTGTTGATGTTCATGTTTTAATTATGAGCTGGCTTTGAGCATGTTTTTCCTCTTGACAATAAACTGATTAGAATGATAACACTCGAGCTGAATATTGAATGTGAATCTAAAATAGATGATATTGAAAATAAATCTAAACGAGAAATTGATTATCACGTCCTTTGAATCGTGGATGCACTGGTTTATAGCAGCTATAATTCAATAAAATAGATCAATGGTCAACAAAAGTTATGAGATCTAATTAAAAAATTGCCCTAATGTTTATATTTATTTGTTTTTGAATGTTTGAACTTGGACTTTGTGTACTTAAGATTACAACTTTAATTCAAAATTCAAATTTTAGTTGAAGTACCAAATATGTTTTGAGGTGGATCTTGATTACCTGGTATTTGAAAAATTGATGGGCCAATGACTTGTTATAAGTGTTTTATTTCTCTGCTATTGCTGTACGAAAACTTTTCGTTGATGTTATTGAAGAAACAGATGCACCAGAGTCCAGACCCTATTCTTTAATACTGTGAACAATTGGGGGAGAATTAGATGGAAATGATGGATTTTCTAAGGTGAAAATAAACAATGAATTGGAAATCAACCGGAGGCGACGTATTCTTTGTGTAAAATATGTTGTTTTGATATGAATATGTGCAAACTTTTCAATACTTTTGGTCCTTCTTTATTTTTGAGCCGACTTTGTTGCAATTTGTTCAGATGTGGGTCGAAGGTTGAGGCAAAAAAACAAATCAAGCTGTTTGTGATACGGGACTAAATATTTATGGGATCTCTGTATTTACCTGATCGACTCCAAATACCAATTGATAATTCTCGTTTATGTGATAATAAGACTATAATTTGAAAAGTATTGACAGGAAACTGATGATGTTAAAATGTTGTAGGTCAATGCTAGGTTGGTAATATGTTGATGTTTAATTAATGAGATTCAATACTGCTGTGTCTATAATTGAATGCACGAAAATTTATACTTGATGCTTCTTCACTTTCTTAATTTGAGGTTCTAGTCCGGAAATTCTAGGAGGGGGACTTAATGTAGAAGATATCAGTTTATGAAGATGGATTATATTGGTTTGGTGATAGCTTCAGTAATTAATCAAGTAAAGCTTGAATGGAATGGAATTATGGTGGACTTATGAGCTTCTAATATGACCTTAATAATGGTTTTCAAAGATCTGACGTAAGTTAACAAATGAAATATAAATGGAACTTGGTAAATTATGATTTTGATTGGAGATATCTGTCTCCTTTTATATATTAAAGGTGAATTATCAAGATCCAGTGGGTCTAGCAGTAGAATTAAGGTCTCTTTCTAGGTACTTTATTGTTTGAAAAAGATGTTTTTATAAGAAAAGCGTCCATCTATATAAGATTATGATTAAAGGAAAAGTCCAGAAAATATAGTTTACACATTATGTGCACGACAATTTCCATCTTTGTTGTTGCAGGTGCATAAGGAAGTTTTTTCATACTCGCATAGACGCACTTCAGATGGGACTACCTATACAACTGTCTGGCTAAAAAAAGCCTCATGAGGCTTATATATAGTATATTATATTATTAGTTACTTCAGTTGTATATATATTTTAGTTTGTGCTGAATCTGAGAGAAGCCTTAGAAGTTATCGTCAAGAATCTAGTTTGAATAAATATGATTAACAACTTGGATAAAGACGGACAAACGACTTGAGGTCTAGCTTTGAAAGATCTGAATTACAAAAGATTGATCGTACCTGCACATATAACGAGAAGGTTGGTTTTCAAAAAAAACAATTGGTAAATTGAGTCGAGCCACACAAAAATGTTGTGTATACCGATAATTTGGCTAGGGTCTTGATATAAATTCTCAATTCGGCTTATATCACTTTGATATTGTATATATAAGTGGTTTTAGGCTTCAGGAATTCAATGATATACTTTGTTTCTCAAAATATATTCTCTAAGCTGTTGTTTTGTGAGGTTCAAGTTTCGATCCTCCCACCTCTTTGAATTTTCTCTAACAAAAATTTTCGG